ACTTTCCAGCTACCGCGCCATACCGCTGATTAACACCTTTGTCTTGAATATTTCTTCCGGCGTTGGCTTGGTAAATGGACTAACCCTCTATTTTAATGGGAATTTTAAACTAAAGAACAACTAAGACAATTCTTCACGGCTCCTTAAAACCCCACAGCGAGTTCGTGGCTATTTGACACACAGCGCCACCTACACCACATCGATCAAAAAACCCCTGCATTAATACCCTGTAATCTGTTATTCAAACAATCGCGTTAATTACACGGCGATGCTGTTTGCTGACTTCCCACACACAAAAATAATTAACGGAGAGGGTTATCTGACGATAAGGGTTAGGAGGACGGCAGAGCCACACGCTCACAGCTTCCCGAGGATGTCACCTAGTTAATTGATGGAGCGGCCGAACAGCAGTTTAAAATTTGGTTTTAATTTAATGATGATAGCGATCAAACATTTTAAGCTGATAGAATCAACATTCAAGTACACAACTGCGTCGTTGTGGGTGGGGACGTATATATATATATATATATATATATATATATATATATATATATATATATATATATATATATATATATATATATATATATATATATATATATATATATATATAATCATCAGCAGAAGAAATCAACTTGCGGACCAATATTTGAGCCGACTTAGTCACTAGTCTTTGTTTGGTTGTTCCCCTTTAAACCGCGGTAATGGCCCTTTGACAATGGCAGGGTAATGGCCCAGTTAACCTCTTGAGCCAATAGAAAGATGCTTATTTTACGAGCCTGGGCTTCCTATGGCGCCTGGCTCAGCCCAAGATCGGTGCATTATCGTATTTCTGCATCGCCTTCATCCGATTTGATGCTTTCTTTGTTTTTTTCGTTTTACCAAACGTAAAGGGCGTATTAGTTATTTTAATGGGAGAATATTACACTCTTGACAGTAACACAACCCACACGCTACAGTTTCTGCGGGAATTTACGGTGATTTGTGGGTTGAATAAAACAAAGTTTGATATTCCGAGTATGTTTTTCAGACCCCTGGTATGTAAATATGTAAAGCTGGTAAGGTTTAGACTCGTGAATCAAAGGCTGGTCAGTGTAATATTTCAGTCTGGAGCAGGGGGGGGGGGGAGGGGGGGCGTACGTCTAGAGCTGGGTTCTCCATGTAGGTTTGTGTTTTACTCGATGTTAGGCGGTTGATAATAAAAGTACAGTTTTATATACGAAGAGATGGAGGAGGCTCTTGTGGCATAGTGGGAGGGGGGAGTGACGTCAGTTGAAAACACGTCATGTATGTGAGCGAGTAAAAGTGCAAGAAATTGGTCTATCTGCAAAATACAAGTAACCTGTCTATCTATAGAGTACATGAAATGGGTCTATCTATAGAGTACATGAAATTGATCTATCTATAAACTACATGGCTCTATCTATAGAGTACATTCATGAAATTGATCTATCTATAGAGTACACGAAATGGCTCTATCTATAGAGTACACGAAATTGGTCTATCTATAGACTACATGGGTCTATCTATAGAGTACATGAAATGGGTCTATCTATAAACTACATGGGTCTATCTATAGAGTACATGAAATGGGTCTATCTATAAACTACATGGGTCTATCTATAGAGTACATGAAATTGATCTATCTATAAACTACATGGGTCTATCTATAGAGTACATGAAATTGATCTATCTATAGAGTAAATGAAATGGGTCTATCTAAAGAGTACATGAAATAGATCTATAGAGCACATGAATTAGATCTATCTGGAGAATTCCAGATACAAGTTTGATAGAGAGCGTCAGCATTCTGTGACGCCCGTGTCACGTGAGTCATAATGTTGGGGGCCCCTTGGCGCTTGGGTTTCTTTCATTTTTTAGACATTTTACTTCTAAGGCACTTAAAACTTAGGGGGGTGGGGTGGGGGCACTTAAAACTTCGGGGGTGGGGGCACTTGAAACTTTGGGGGTGGGGTGGGGGCACCTAAAACTTCGGGGGTGGGGGGCACTTAAAACTTCGGGGGTGGGGTGCGGGCACTTAAAATTAACCCGGGAAAGGGAGGCGGACCGTGGTTAAAAATGTATTTTTAATAAAAAAAATTATTTTCATTTCGTCCCGGGGCGGAAGGTGTGGGTGGTGGACGTGGTTAGGGTAAAGCTGTACCCCCCCTCGAGTGAGGTCTGAAAGAAATAGCTTGTATTGTTGGAATCATGTTGCCAGGTGCTTGAAGGCTTTAGTAAAATAAAGAAAAAGCGTTGAGGGGAAGGGGGGGGGGGGGTCACTTCTGGTGTGTGTTGGCCTTTCGAGAAAAACTGAACCAGACCTATAGGCAATAGGCAATCATGAGTCATCTAGACATTCTCGCCCCCCCCCCCCCCCCCCCCCCCCCCCCCTTTCAACAAAAACACTTTTCAACTATGTTGTTTTTGTATACACATAAAAACCCCGACCTGGAATGTAGACATGTGTATGTGGAATCGTCTTTAGCGAAATGGAAAAATCGATGCCCACAATGAATCGACGTCACCCAGTTATTTTGTAATTAATCGCCTGTCAATGAAAGTACTTGTGGAGTAGCCCTAGGCTGCCCAATAGGCTCGCCCAGGCTCGAGACGATCGGTTACCTGGCCAACCACAGCTGGACTGAACGCTGGCTCACGGGCTTTATTGATTGGGATATTGGTAATTAGGATTAGCGTTAAAGATGTTTGTCTTCCTTCGTGTTGGACGGAATGATTTTTGTTAGCGGCGAGAGGAAGGTAATGCCCCGGGCATGTCCTAGTGGCCCACCCCGGGGATTTTGTGAGGGTGGGAGGGGGGGGGGGGCGTGAAGGTTTATCAAGACAAGGGATAAGTCCGGTGCTAGCTTACATTGATGGGATAGCTGTTGGTTGAGACATGAGATAAATTTGTCTGATGGTAGCAGTGGTAGCCTGTATTGATACGGTAGCTATTAGTTGAGACATAGGACAGAGAGGTTTGATGGTAGCACACAGTAAAAAGGTAGCTGTTGATTGAGACTAAATGCAACGTTGCTAGCCCGAACTTCTCGAGGCCATTCCTCCTTGAGTTAACTCAGCTCACATCGGTACCTGACTGGAAACGAGAAATGTATATTTTTTTTTTGCCAGCTAGGTATATTTGTTTTCCCTGACGAAAGTCAGATACCCATTAAAGCTGGGTTGGCTCAGGGACGACCTACGGACTTACGGGTCAACACCGAAGTGCTCTAACGTCTGAGCACTTTCTACCAACATCACCACGGTTGTATCAACAGCATCAACACCGTAATGCATGTGTCCGCTGGAAGACACCCATCATCCCGACACATTTGACTGACACCAATCCTTATTGCACCCCCCCCCCACCCCCTCCCCCCCCTCCCCCAAACCACCTAAAAATAGCCATCCAATAAAAGACGCGATATAAAAAAAAAGAAAATTTGGTGCGAAACTGACAGCATCATTTACGGTTATAGATGGCTTCTGGGATCCTGATTGATGTCGTCTGCTCATGACCCACTTTATAAATCTTGCAGGTGAATGTTTAGTAATGGTCGGGAATGGGCCAATCAAAATCGCCGTTACAAAAGGTGAGAGAAAAAAACAACAAGTTTTAGCGTGGAGCTCAGCTAATGGTGTTCAACAAAGCGTGACGGTGACTGAGTTGACGATCGTTGTTTATCACTCAAACTCGTCAGATTTCCAGGTCGATTCCATTATGGCTTTTGGCCTTTTTGGTGTTTGTGGCGATTGGGCGCACTCGAAGACGGCTGGGCGGTGACTGCCGGTTCAATTAGCGCAGCGCCCCCTGGCGGCGTTTCCCTCCACTTGTTCGGTTCGCTGTTCGTCGTTTGATGTTACTCACCAGGTCACGTGGCCTTCTGTCTTTGCTCACGCTTCGTTCACTGAACATGCCGGTTGCTCATTCTCTAAAACATTCCTTGCTGGTTGTGTTAGTGCCACATTGTATACACAATCATCACTCTCTCATCACTCTTGACAATCATTCAATCGTTACTCTCATTCGCAAACACTTTCTTACTAACTCTCATACTTCAATTTCTCACTTACTCTCTCATCATTCACTCACTTTCTTACTCACTAAATCTCACTCTTTTTCTTACTCTCTCATTCCTCACTCACTCCCACTCAGCCCCCTCTCTATTTACTCATCAATTCACTAAACCCTGCCCCACCTTCCACATCCACACCTTCTGACTGCTCCACCCCTACCCTACTTTCCCATAAACCCAAAATATCCCCCCCCCCTTTTTTTCCCCATCTTCACCTATTCCCACAACTATTTTCTCTCCACCCTGTGTACAACCACAACCCCATTTTACAGCCACCGCGATGCTCCTAATCATGTCCGGACTTCACCCCACACGATCGGCCATTTTTCCCAACCCCACGCAGAGCCTCTTCCGCCAACCAGCGGAAACTCACGATGTGCAACTTTCCTCACAGAAGAGTGCTCGTAAAAAAAAAAAAAAACAACAACAAAAAACTTAATTGTCCCAACACAGTAAACACGATTGTTTTAGTTGCCATTTCACGCGGGCTGTTCGCGAGAGCAGCACTAATTAGAAATCACTTGTTAACGTTTGGAGGTAATGGTGAGTAGATTGCTGAAAAATCGCAAACATAAAACAAGACGTGCTGAATAATTGACCACTCGCCGGGAAATGTTTTGTAATTTAGATAAAAATAAAGTCAGGCGTCTTATGAGGGACTGAAATTGGTTCAGTAAATGGCGGATTAATTTAGCAGGAAGCTTGCGCATGCCAGATTTGGAGGCGGCAAGAGAAAACAACTTGATGGCACCAGAGGTTGGCAGGGGAGGATTATTTGTTACATCGTCAGTTCTTCTATTCTACCAACCCCGGCCCTCGTTGTCTCATGTCTTCCTACCAAACCTCATCAGACAAAGATTATTTGTTGCACCGTCAGTTCTTCTATTCTACCAACCGCGGCCTTAGTTGTCTCATGTCTTCCTAATGAACCTCATCAAAGATTATTTGTTACATCGACAGTTCTTCTATTCTACCAACCCCGGCCTTAGTTGTCTCATGTCTTCCTACCAAACCTCATCAGACAAAGATTATTTGTTGCACCGTCAGTTCTTCTATTCTACCAACCCCGGCCCTAGTTGTCTCATGTCTTCATACCAAATCTCATCAGACAAAGATTATTTGTTGCATAGACAGTTCTTCTCAGAGGCGTAGCGAGGGGGGGGGGGCGGGGGGGGGGGTGCGGACCGCACCGGGTGACACCATTTAGGAGGGTGACACCAAGGCAAAAAATAGCAAAATATACAGAGAAAACTTTGAGGGGGGGGGTTCAAATCGAAAGTTTGAGGGGAGGGGGGGGGGGGGGGTGCAAAATAGAAAATTTGTCCCCGGGAAGGGTCGCTGCGCCTCTGGGGGGGGGGGGGTGACACCATTAAATGCCGCACCGGGTGACACCCGACCTCGCTACGCCACTGTCTTCTATTCTACCAACCCCGGCCCTAGTTGTCTCAGTCTTCCTACCAAACCTCATATCGTTACAAAACCCAATGCCTTTCCTCAACTCCCCCAAACCTCAATTCATCCCGGATGCCATCCTCCAATTTTTATGACCATTCCTCCACAAACCTCATGCCCTTCCCCAAACCTCATAACACCCCCCAATCCTTATGCTATACAAAACCTCATGTCTCTCACCCACTTCCGACACCATCCCCCCCCACCTCTTGCAATATCACGCCACACACACCCTCTACTATTCTTGATCTTCAATTATCCACCCCTACTCCCTACCATAAAATCGCCCACATACCTTCCAAACCTTTTTACCCCCTCCCAACTCTCTTGTATACCACCTCTGCCCCTCCCCCACACAATTTATTTACCCAACATCCCACACACCAGACAACGTAAAACCAGAAAAATGTGACGTTTAAGCGTTGACCCCTGGTCAATAAATGGTATACATCACACGAACGTTGACCAGTTGTAATAGGAAAACTGTTGTTTATAGGGGGCAATGACCAGTACATCAGCCAACAGACTGACCACTACATCAGCCAACAGAGTGACCACTACATCAGCCAACAGAGTGACCAGTACATCAGCCAACAGAGTGACCAGTACATCAGCCAACAGAGTGACCAGTACATCAGCCAACAGACTGACCACTACATCAGCCAACAGAGTGACCACTACATCAGCCAACAGAGTGACCACTACATCAGCCAACATCCAGAGAGTGACCACTACATCAGCCAACATAGTGACCACTACATCAGCCAACAGAGTGACCACTTCATCAGCCAACAGAGTGACCACTACATCAGCCAACAGAGTGACCACTACATCAGCCAACAGAGTGACCACTACATCAGCCAACAGAGTGACCAGTACATCAGCCAACAGACTGACCACTACATCAGCCAACATCCAGAGAGTGACCACTACATCAGCCAACATAGTGACCACTACATCAGCCAACAGAGTGACCACTACATCAGCCAACATCCAGAGAGTGACCACTACATCAGCCAACAGAGTGACCACTACATCAGCCAACATCCAGAGAGTGACCACTACATCAGCCAACAGAGTGACCACTACATCAGCCAACAGAGTGACCACTACATCAGCCAACAGAGTGACCACTACATCAACCAACAGACTGACCACTACATTAGTCAACAGAGTGACCACTACATCAGCCAACATCCAGAGAGTGACCACTACATCAGCCAACAGAGTGACCACTACATCAGCCAACAGAGTGACCACTACATCAGCCAACAGAGTGACCACTACATCAGCCAACAGAGTGACCACTACATCAGCCAACAGAGTGACCAGTACATCAGCCAACAGACTGACCACTACATCAGCCAACATCCAGAGAGTGACCACTACATCAGCCAACATAGTGACCACTACATCAGCCAACAGAGTGACCACTACATCAGCCAACATCCAGAGAGTGACCACTACATCAGCCAACAGAGTGACCACTACATCAGCCAACATCCAGAGAGTGACCACTACATCAGCCAACAGAGTGACCACTACATCAGCCAACAGAGTGACCACTACATCAGCCAACAGAGTGACCACTACATCAACCAACAGACTGACCACTACATTAGTCAACAGAGTGACCACTACATCAGCCAACATCCAGAGAGTGACCACTACATCAGCCAACAGAGTGACCACTACATCAGCCAACAGAGTGACCACTACATCAGCCAACAGAGTGACCACTACATCAACCAACAGACTGACCACTACATTAGTCAACAGAGTGACCACTACATCAGCCAACAGAGTGACCACTACATTAGCCAACAGACTGACCACTACATCAGACAACAGAGTGACCACTACATCAGCCAACAGACTGACCACTACATCAGCCAACAAAGTGACCACTACATCAGCCAACAGAGTGACCACTACATCAGCCAACAGAGTGACCAGTACATCAGCCAACAGACTGACCACTACATCAGCCAACAGAGTGACCACTACATCAGCCAACAGAGTGACCACTACATCAGCCAACAGAGTGACCACTACATCAGCCAACAGAGTGACCACTACATCAGCCAACAGAGTGACCACTACATCAGCAAACAGAGTGACCACTACATCAGCCAACAGAGTGACCACTACATCAGCCAACAGAGTGACAAATACATCAGCCAACAGAGAGACCACTACATCAGCCAACAGAGTGACCACTACATCAGCCAACAAACTGACCACTACATCAGCCAACAGAGTGACCACTACATCAGCCAACAGAGTGACCACTACATCAGCCAACAGAGTGACCACTACATCAGCCAACAAACTGACCACTACATCAGCCAACAGAGTGACCACTACATCAGCCAACAGAGTGACCACTACATCAGCCAACAGAGTGACCACTACATCAGCCAACAGAGTGACCACTACATCAGCCAACAGAGTGACCACTACATCAGCCAACAGAGTGACCACTACATTAGATAAACAGAGTGACCACTACATCAGCCAACAGAGTGACCACTACATCAGCCAACACCCAGAGACTGACCACTACATCAGCCAACAGACTGACCACTACATCAGCCAACATCCAGAGAGTGACCACTACATCAGTCAACAGAGTGACCACTACATCAGCCAACAGAGTGACCACTACATCAGCCAACAGAGTGACCACTACATCAGCCAACAGAGTGACCACTACATCAGCCAACAGAGTGACCACTACATCAGCCAACAGAGTGACCACTACATCAGCCAACAAACTGACCACTACATCAACCAACAGAGTGACCACTACATCAGCCAACCGACTAACCACTAAACAATGCACAGTAACTGAGAGTACCGCTTATGACTTGTATAAGATATTATTTTCTCTTCATTACAACAAACAAAGCTGTATTTAACTGCTCTACATTTTACAGAAGAGAGGCTAAGTCAGTGTTTCTTCCAGACTTTTTTCTCCGGGGGGGGGGGGGGGGGGCACTTGATTATTGGGGGGGTGGTCAACATTTTCCGGAGGGGGGTGGAAACTGGTAAAAGTATGTTTTCTATATAAATTCTAATTTGTTCGGGGGGGGGGGCGTTAGACTTGCTACCCCCACCTTCCACCGAAGATATGCCTGGAAGAAACTCTGATCTCATGCGGCAATAATAAAAACCCGTGTTTAGACTGACTAGGAATGAATTGATTAATTAACACACTGTCATTAATTAACACACTGACTTGTATTTTAAAACCCTTTGACATAAAACAAACCTACATCCCGTTGTTCACACGACACTAGACTACGGGAAAACTACAGGAAACATTGATTGAAATCAAGCTCAGCTATCATAACCAACATTCCCAGCCGTAATATCAACAGTCCCCCATACCCGGCCTATATTATTCATTAATTACATTAGCTCTATCCGTCGCAGAGAGGAAGCGAGTCAAACGTCTAATAATTAAGCCAGGAGGAAGAAATGCTTTCGTAACCTCATCAACTTGAAACATATACGATGTGTCCTAGCCTGGTCGTTGCGAAACTTTGCGGGTCTGTTGTTTTCATAGGTCGTCATTTCGAAATATATTGGCTGAGATGTTTTCATAAACTCCGAGACAGGTAGACTCTACTCCACCTTCCACATTAACCGTAAGCACCGAAGGGGTAATTAAAAAAACTTCAAATTTAAACATATTCATTTGAAATGTAAAATAGTACATTTTCATGCAATGTTTCTGTCAAACTATTTTCTCCAGGAAGGAAGGGGGGGGGGGGGGGCGACACTTGAAACCCCCCGCCCTCACTACGCCTCTGCCATGTTACAGTAAGATGCGTGAAAGAAACTCATTTCGAATGTTTTTATAAAAAAACCACCAGGTTTAGTTTTGGCAAAAGGCAAAGTGATAAATGGAATGGCGCGCCCCTTTCGGCGCCCTCCGCCCACGCTCATCAGGCTTACAGAGCCTCACTCTGGCCACAACTAGGTCATTAATGGCGCCAAACACGTTCGACCAAAATGTTTTTTAACAGCCGACAATTAGCCCCTGCGCGTGATAACCTTTACAATGACAATTTTTACCGACGAAATTATTGACAAAGGTCAATCCAATCTTATTTTTTTAGTGTTTAAAGTTGTAATATTTTTCTCATTGTACGCAGTCTGATGTCTCTGTCATGTGTGTTGTAGTTGATTAGTTTGTTGTAATGATGTATGCTTGTGATAAAAAACTTGGGACTACACTGTGATCGTTTCATTTAAAAGTGGAAGAAAAATAATGTAAGATTACATATGGCCTAAACAACCACAATCACGACATTTCTTAACAACCCACCACAATCATACTATTCCTAAAACAATCCACCACAATCATACTATTCCTAAAACAACCCACCACAATCATACTATTCCTAAAACAACCCACCACAATCATACTATTCCTAAAACAATCCACCACAATCATACTATTCCTAAAACAACCCACCACAATCATACTATTCCTAAAACAACCCACCACAATCATACTATTCCTAAAACAACTCACCACAATCATACTATTCCTAAAACAACCCACTACAATCATACTATTCCTAAAACAACCCACCACAATCATACTATTCCTAAAACAATCCACCACAATCATACTATTCCTAAAACAACCCACCACAATCATACTATTCCTAAAACAACCCACCACAATCATACTATTCCTAAAACAACCCACCACAATCATACTATTCCTAAAACAACCCACCACAATCATACTATTCCTAAAACAACTCACCACAATCATACTATTCCTAAAACAACCCACTACAATCATACTATTCCTAAAACAACCCACCACAATCATACTATTCCTAAAACAATCCACCACAATCATACTATTCCTAAAACAACCCACCACAATCATACTATTCCTAAAACAACCCACCACAATCATACTATTCCTAAAAACCCCACCACAATCATACTATTCCTAAAACAACCCACCACAATCATACTATTCCTAAAACAACCCACCACAATCATACTATTCCTAAAACAACCCACCACAATCATACTATTCCTAAAACAACCCACCACAATCATACTATTCCTAAAACAACCCACCACAATCATACTATTCCTAAAACAACCCACCACAATCATACTATTCCTAAAACAACCCACCACAATCATACTATTCCTAAAACAACCCACCACAATCATACTATTCCTAAAACAATCCACCACAACCTTAACGTCCAAAGTTAAAAAAAAATTAACTATCAAAAGAAATAAAATGCAATTAGAGGTTAGCCGTACCCCTTTAATCCATTTACCATTATCCCGACAAAGATTATCATATTTTAGAATGTTATCGTAAACCTAAACCTAACTCAAACATTATCTTGGTTAAAAATATTCCCTTAACTAGCGGAGTATGACACAAGAAGAAGAGTACGACATATCGAGTGTTACATACTAAAATATGAATGCTATGTGAACCTCAGGATCATCCTTTTATTTGCCATATAGGAGTATGACATATGCAATGTTACATACTAAAATAAAATGTTATGTGAACCTCAAGACCATCTTTATAGTGGCCATATTGTTGGCCATCAAAGTGACCAAGTATGGCCAAATCGACAGTAGGAGTGTTAGATCAGCACGTTCACGCTGTGTGACAGGTGAAAGAGTTCAGATATATCCTCAGTCCTGATTGGTCATTTAAAATCACGTGTCGCTGAATTGTCATTAGTTGCTTGGATTGATTTAAAAACTTGGTTATTACTGGAAGCTCATTTCGTTGAACTTTTTGATAAACCAAACAAACCAGCATACTGTAAACATTTTAGCTTATCTTCGAATGAAATAGATCAGCAAGATTTTGATGATGTGTCTGTTTAAAAACATAGAATTAAAATTGTGTATAACACGAAGAAGCATGCTTGTTGAGATGCGAAGGTAGGTATAGGTGTCTCAGTCAGTGCAACTCTTCTTACAAGAAAGTAATAAATATTAAACACATACAATATATATATATATATATATATATATATATATATATATATATATATATATATATATATATATATATATATATATATATATATATATATATATATATACGGTGTGTTAGAGGGCAATAAATATCGGTCACAAGAGATGCACCCATTCATATATATATATATATATATATATATATATATATATATATATATATATATATATATATATATATATATATATATATATATATATATATATAACCTTCAAATAACGTATCAGTGCAACACACAATGGAAACGGAAACACAAATATATAAGCCTTACCAAAGAAATATTAGAATTTAAAAAAAAAAACTGACATCAGGATTTTATTTAAAAAAAAAGCCCACTATGTTATTGGGGCGTGAGGGTAGCTGACGTGTTTGCCGAGGTCGCGGTAATTAGAGCCGACACCAACTTGTCGTGGACAGACTCAAGTGGGCTCGGTGTCAGGGGGTATTGGCATGTCTCGCGGGCGCCGAGCAAACGTACAGATTCAATTTACGGTCGTCACGTGACTGCCCGTTTGGTCAGCCCTGACAGTCCAGCCCACGGCCCGTCAGAGCTGTTTGGGGGTGTTGAAAAGGTTCAATGTTTACATCTAGTCGGGTGCGGCGGGGAGTTTGGTGGAGGTGACGGCGGGGGTGGAGGTAGTATGTGTGTGTGTGTGAGGGGGGGGGGGGGGGTTCGTTCAGGGTGGAGGTGACGGCGGGGGTGGAGGTGGTATGTGTGTGTGTGTGTGTGTGTATGTGTGTGAGGGGGGGTTCGTTCAGGGTGGAGGTGACGGCGGGGGTGGAGGTGGTGGGGGTCGTTTAAAATATTCAAAATATTTTCTAGCAAACTTGTATTGGGTTTCTAGTGATGTTGCCAGACTTGTGTTGTGCGTGGGGAGCAGGAGGTTTTCCCGAAAGACACTTGCCCGAATGCGACAAATGCCCGAATGCAACAAATGCCCGAATGCGACAAATGCCCGAATGGACACTTGCCCGAATGGATACTTGCCCGAATGCGACAAACGCCCGATGTGAGATTGTTTAGACCATGGTTGCAAGAGGTCTAGTTGGTGCCAATCATTGACTGAGGGCCAACGTACCTCACACAGTTCACACAGCTTATAAAATCGCTGATGTGGCAGAGAACGGTTAAACGAAAGCGACATTTGAGACATGGCACAAAAAATTCCGGAGACCCTAAAAACACTAAGGAACGAAACAAAACTAGAAAAATTTCTGGCGACTTTAAAAAACGCAAAGACTCGAAACAAAACTAGAAAATTAAAGTGTTGAAAACAACGGCCTTGATACAAGCAAACTGTCCAAGATATAAGATTTAATAGACTTGATATATGAGACTAGTTAGGTTGGGTATATAAGATTTGATAGACTTCTTCTTCTTCGTTCTTAATTTTTAGTGTTGGAAGGGATCGAGCATTAACTGCCAGAGGGTTTGAACTCGAGACTTTTTTCGAATTTATCAACCATGAGCTTTGCCGACTCGACCATGCTTCCATCACAATTAAGGATTACGTGTCAACTGGTTATGCGCCATTGAGGCCATTGACTCCAATTTCAGCCTGCTTTTCTTTTTGGATTTGCTTCCATAGTCTTTGTCCAACCAAGAACAAACTCTGTCCCCAGCTAACGAGCCTCATCTGCTCGAGGGTTCGAACTCGAGACTTTTCGGTTTAGCAACCATGAGCTTTACCGACTCGACCACGCCGACCTCTGATAGACTTGATATATGAGATTTGCTAGTTCTCATATGGGATTTGCTTGTCTCGATTTGGCACATTAACTAG